GTTTGGTGAACTCTTGAAGTACTAGGGGTGTGGCCTGTAGGGCTATATTATATGGTATGGTGACCATGTGGCTACTCTACACTGGCATGTACTGTGACTATCATAAACACATCAGATTTAGGAGACCTGGTATTAAGGGTTCAGAACACTGCAGGTCCAGACAGCTGATGGATACACTTAGCTAAGGAGCCAATGGAGCAAAGCTACCACCAGGGATTGTGACTGAATGTCTCAAAGTCAGAATCCTGCCCAAGCCCAAAACTATCTCATTACTGAAGTACTTTCAGTTGCACTCAAATAGCCAAATCAGGTTGTTGCTTATGTCATCATTGTCTTTCCATGCCCCCTCCACATCAGGATTAGATCCTGATCAGAGAACTCTTGGTCCTGGGAAATCTCACAAAGGGGACCATCGTCTCACAACCCACCATATGACATTTTTCATATGGAACCTGCTAGTAAACCATTCATAGTCAACCTGTTTCTGAGTCTGGGCTTACAATATAGAAGAGTAACTCCCTCCTACGGTTTCCTGAAAGGCAGCCCTCAGCCAAAGAGGACTGTAAACATTAAGATTAATTGAAAGGAAAATAAATTAATGATGTAAGACATTCCAAGTAGACACTTAGATGTTCACATGTGAAATTTAGAAGGATGTAGATTGGAGTAGTTTGAAGTCAGTTAATCAATGTGGTGATTCCACCTAGAGGCACAGAAGGTAAGGAACAAAGCCCAGAGAAACAGCCTCGCCAAAAATGCAAGTTTTTGTTTCCAAAGAGAGATCCTACCTTTAAGGAATGAAGGAGAACTATAGAGAAAACTCAATGCCCTCTTCTGGTTTCCATATGCTCCTAGGTCTATATACCCACTCAAGTCCCTATGAACACGTCATATACACATACAAGAAGAGACTGGACTGCCAGTGAAAATCCTTAGCAAGTAAAAATATGTATTCTAAACCTGAGGAGTAGAGTTCAATCCAGTTAATTAACATTAAGAAGAAGATGAAAAAGATTGGGACCATACACTAACATGTTATTAGTAGCTGTCATGGTGTTTTCCCTGAAGCTTGGCTGAAATATCTCTGTGTTGGAGGGAAATCAAAAGGAGAACTACTTCCAAGTCTCAGGTTGGCAGGTCATTAAAAAAGATATGAGTCAGGGACTGGAGAGATGGCACAGTGGTTAAGAGCACTAAGTGCTCTTCGAGAGGAACCTGGGTCCAATTCTCAGGACCCACATGACAGCTCACAACTGTCTGTAGCTCCAAGATCTGACACTCTCACACAGACATACATGCTAGCAAAACACCAATGCACAAAAAAGATAAATTATTAAATAAAAGAGGCTTGCATGGATAGCATGAGAGAAGTCCCAAGTCACTGGCAGTAGAATCTTGCCTAGTGGAAAGGATTGGAAGATTGGTGCAGAAAAATGAGTATTAAAAGGTTGCAGATATGAGTTGGTGAACTGCTAGAATGCTGTTATAAACAAGAAAAAATGATGTTCTTCAAACTAGCAGGAGCATCAGTGACTCAGTGCCTAGCTGTGAATCTCTGCTTCTACTTCCAGCAGCTATTGAATTATAGCCATAAAGAAACTCAGTGCACAGCCTGTTGCATAATAATTGTATAACAAGCAATAGCTATTTATAGTTTTATAGTCGTTGATGTTTGTTCTTTTCACGGTATCCCACATTTCCTGGATATTTTGTGTTAAAGATTTGTTGGACTTAAGATTTTCTTTGGTCGATAAATCTATTATTTCTAGTTTATCTTCAGCACCTGAGATTCTCTCTTCCATCTCTTGTATTCTGTTGGTTATACTTCCATCTGTAGTTCCTGATCAACTTTTCTATTTCAAGAATTCCTCAGTTTGTGTTTTCTTCATTGTCTCTATTTCAGTTTTCAGGTCTTGAACTGTTTGAATTGTTTTCTTCATTTGTTTGTTTGGTTTTTTTTCCTGACTTTCCTTAAGAAATTTGTTGATTTCTTGCATTTTTTTTGGGTTTTTTTTCTTCCATTTCTTTAAGGAATTTTCTAATATCCTCTATTATTTTCATGAAGTTGTTTTTAAGATCATTCTCTCCTGCTTCATCTGCATTGGGATGTTCAGGTCTTGCTGATGTAGAACCCCTAGACTCGGGTGGTGTCATATAAGTCTTTCTGTTGTTGAATGTGTCCTTATACTGTCATCTTTCCATCTCTTCTTCCAATGGGTACAGGTGGGGTCTTTCCCTCTCCTGGTGGGTATGGGTTCAAGGCTCTCTCCTCTCCTCTCTCCCAGAGGGTGCAGGGGCAAGACAGGAATGGCAGCCGATGTTGGATGCTTTGTTCTGCCTCCAACTCCCTCTTGGGGGTCCAGTGTCAAGAAGAGTCTGGCAACCACAGGCCAGAGGACTGGAAGAGGGAAAGGTGGACTGGAAGAGGCCCTAGCACTCAGCTCTCTACCAGAGGGTGGAGGGGCAGGGCTGGAATGGAGGCCGATGCTGGATGCTTTGTTCTGCCTCCAGGTCCCTCTGGGGGATTCGATGGCAGGAAGAGTCTGGCTGCTGTAGGTCAGGGTACTCTAATACGGAAAGGTGAGCTAGAGGAGCCCCAGGAGCTCACCTCTCTACCAGAGGGTGGAGAGTCACGATAGAATCTGAAGTTTATAATTCACCTTCTATTTCTTTAAAAGCACAAAATAAATTCCAGGCTGGAGTCCAAAATCTAAAAGGGTCAAAAGGTAACATGCCTTGCTTTGCTTGCATTGTACCCTATATTATCTTAGGTTGGCATACCAAAGTGGAGTTGAAAATCTAGGAGATGTGCTGTGCTTACAGACTAAGAAGCTTTTCACCTATGGGGTATCCTTGGTGGTGGTTAGGTTTCTGTCAACTTAACACAGGCTAGAAAGAAGAGCCATTGAGAAAAATGTCTCCATAAGACTGCCTGTAGGCAAGTTTGTGGGGCATTTTCTTGATCAATGATTGATATGGGAAAGCTCAGTTCACTATGGGTGGTGTTACCCCTGGGAAGAAAGCAAGCTGAGAAAGCCAGGGAAAGCAGGCAAATTATCAGCATCCCTCTTGCCTTTCTGCTTCATTCTTGCCTTGAGTTCCTGTCCTGACTTTCCTTAGTGATGGGGTGTGACATGAGGGTTGTAAAATGAAGTAAACCCCTTTGTCACTAACTTGCTTTTGGTCATGGAGTTTTGTCACAGAAGTAAAAGCATACTAACTAAGACAGGAGCTAATTTAAATACTTTATAAATATTGCCTCAGTTCTTACAAATGAGCCTCATTTTCAGCAAAGCAACATTAACTAGCTTTGTAACTTATTTTGGATAGCCTGACTTTATCAATACCAGTGCCATTTTGTTTCTGTAGTTGTGCAAGTAAAAAGATAGATATCTTGCTCCATCACAGTACAAACTGTTGTTCAGTGACTGAATAGTGAACTCAGTTGCATTGGTATCACAGCACTGTGTCGCTCACTTCCATAAAAAATAAAGCAAAAAATGGAGCTAGCAACTAACTAGGTGAATATACATCTTTAATTAATATACTTACAAGCAGACGTGAGTTTAATAACCAGAACTACATGCATGGGGGTACATGCTTGTACTCCCAGTGCTAGGAAGGTGGATACCCAGGGCTCATTGGCTAACTAGTTTCCAGTCAAGTAAAAGACCATGCCTCAAAGGAGGGTGGGGGAAGGCCAGACAGCATCTGAGGAGCTATAAGCTACATAAAATTCATCTCTGACCTCCATTTATACACATGAATCTGTGTGCCCCCATACAAAGTGGGGGGTAGGGACAAAGACTTCCAAATGTCAGAAGAGAAGGGAAAGAAGAATCATAATAGGCAGTCAGTAGTGAGTGACTGTAATGTTAACACTGTGAGGTTGGGGCCAGCCTGGGCTATGTAGTGGGACCTTGTACCAACACAAGGAAGAATTGCCACAGACTTGATGCTATTTGAAGAAAAGTAACTAGAAGGATGTTTTTTTGTTTTGTTTTGTTTTGCTTTGTTTTTGTTTTTCGAGACAGGGTTTCTCTGTGGTTTTGGAGCCTGTCCTGGAACTAGCTCTTGTAGACCAGGCTGATCTCTAACTGGCAGAGATCCGCCTGCCTCTGCCTCTGCCTCCCAAGTGCTGGGATTAAAGGCGTGTACCACCACTGCCCAGCCAGGAGGATGATTTTTTTAAAGCTTCAGTTTTCAGAGTCAAATTATAGGAATGACATGAATCATCAGAGAATAGTGGCTGTGTTGACAAGCTGGCCACTATTTAAAAGTCACTTTATGCCAGGCGGTAGTGGTGAATGCCTTAATCCCAGCACTCGGGAGGCAGAGGCAGGCAGATTTCTGTGAGTGTGAGGCCAGTCTGGTCTACAGAGTGAGTGACAGGACAACCTCCAAAACAATACAGAGAAGCCCTGTCTCGAAAAACAGATAGATAGATAGATAGATAGATAGATAGATAGATAGATAGATAATAAAAGTCACTTTCCAAGTATTTTGGAAGTTCTAAGATCTGTTCAGCAAGAGGAGATAAATAATCACGTTTAGAACTGTAGCTTTTCATGTAAGCCTGGAGACACTGCCCCATGTAGTACAGGATACTGATGCTCCGTCTTAAGTTGTATAGACTGCGTTTCCGTGTATCCTGTCAGACATCAGGGTGACTGTTACTTGGGTCTTGATTGAAATCCTTATACAGACCATCTAATTAAAAAGTTAAGTCTAAGCCGGGCGTTGGTGGCTCACGCCTTTAATCCCAGCACTCGGGAGGCAGAGGCAGGCGGATCTCTGTGAGTTCGAGGCCAGCCTGGTCTAATGAGTGAGTTCCAGTACAGCCTCCAAAACAATACGGAGAAACCCTGTCTCGAAAAACCAAAAAAAAAAAACAAACAAACAAACAAACAAAAAAGTTAAGTCTAATGTTGGTATGATCATACTGCCCTCTAGTGTTAAAATGACCTATGTTTATGCCAAAGTTCATTTGCCTTTTTCAGATCAGTATTTTCATGACCCATTTGTCTAACTATGGAAATGACCGACTGGGATTATATACATTTGTGAATCTAGCCAATTTTGTGCAGACCTGGACCAACCTGCGTCTTCAGACCCTGCCTCCAGCTCAGCTGGCTCACAAGTATTTTGAGCTCTTTCCTGATCAGAAAGACCCTCTCTGGCAGGTAAAATCAGATCAGTCATTGACATAAATAAGTCATCCCACAAACGGTTTGTTATTGTGTGAAGTTATCTAAATGTGAGAACTCGGAGCATCCAAGTAAAGCTGTGCAATTAGAAAACATTTAGATTTGAGAAACCACTTCCTACTGAATTGTAGGCCTATGTTATTGCTAACCATTGAGCCACATTTCTGTTCCTTTCCTATTAGAAAGTACAGAATATGGAGTGTAGGACATCGTAGATGATGATATTTTCAGTCATAAGATATCACTTTTCAGACTGTCATAAGTTGAAAATGGAAAATAGTAAGTTGTGTGTCAGGCAGTTGGCCAACTGGTCAGCCTTACACACACACACACACACACACACACACACACACACACACACACCTGGAGTTACCAGTCACACTAGCAGATTTCTGGAGTAATCTCGGTGCTGATAGCCAGTGTTAGATTTTGTTGGTGTCACAAGCATCATTTCTTCTTAAGTACTACAAATAGCCAAATGTTAGTCACTTGAACAATTTTGCCACTAGTCTCACCCTTTATCTTTAAGTTGAAATCATTATTATTGTGAGAAAGTGGTTTAAAATAAGCTGTACAGAGTAGTAACCAAAAGAAGTGCATGACTTTTGTCTTTGCTACATATAAACAAGTTTCACACATCTATACTGTTAATTGGACAGAAGGAAAGAGTGGTCCTGTTTGCTTATTCATAAAGCAGTATGAAAGAATGCTGTAATCTTCCCCTTTACATTAGTGTACATACTGTATCTCAGGAGAAAGTATGCTTTAGATACAAATACACACTCTGCCTTATTTTAAATAGACCAAAAGTTAACCTGTGTAATAGCAGTTCACCTTCATTTTGCACTTCTGCTAAAACTGGATACTTTCAACATCGCAGTCAGTAAATTTACATTTTTAGATATATATTTACCAAATTTTGAAGGTAGCTGGAAGGAATTGACTGTCTCTTTAAATCAGCATGACTTGAACTCTCTCCTCTTGAAGGAAACTCAGCTATTTAGAATAAAAATAATAATAAGGTCTAGGGAAACTTTAAATAGAGTGATTTACTGAATGCTGAGAATATATCTCCCCTTAGGCCAATAGTTCAGCCTGCCTTATGCTGGAACCCTTTAATACATTTCCTCCTGTTGTGGTGACCCCCAACCATACATTTTTGTTGCTACTTTATAACTGTAATTTTGCTACTCCTATGAATCATAATGAAGATAGAGGTTTGTCAAAGGGGCTGTGACCCACATGTTGAGAACTCACAGAAAGAATAGTGTCTAACCAAAAAGTTTACTACTTAAGCGGGAGAGCATAACTGTAGAATTGCCAGGAGCAGGAAAAATGTGATCTCCTGGGCACTTGACTGTTTAACTGAAGTGGAAACCTCTCCCCTTCCCACTCCCTCACTCTCGACTGAAGGACAGAAAAAAAAAAGCTTTCCAGTGCTTTTGTTTCCAAAAGAAACCTCTTGCTTATCATTCTGTCTCCTTGTATATCTTAAAGCAAAGATTAGAATCTCTACTCAAAAATGGATACACACACATACAAACATAACATCTCTATATTCCTTACCCATACAGAACCCCTGTGATGACAAACGCCACAGAGACATTTGGTCTAAAGAAAAAACCTGCGATCGTTTACCAAAATTCTTGGTAATAGGACCCCAGAAAACTGGTAAGAACTTTAATATTATTATTAAATAATATAAAATAACTAGACAGTGAACCCTTGTGGCAGCAGGACCGAGCTACTGAAGTCACAGTACATTCCAGCATACTCTGGAGCAGTCTTGTTCGGCCGAATAACATACTAAGGGCTTCATCAGGCTCGTTTAAAAGGAAGGGGGAAGTGGATGTGATTTGAAAGACACAGTATTCAGTCTGCTAGCACGTCTTACTTTTTCCCCAAGGCTCTTACTCCAGAAGTGTAGTTAACATTTCTAAAATTAAAACTAATTTTGCATTTAGAAATTGATTGACAGGATTTGCTCAAATTCCAAGGGAGACATATGTAAGTACCTGGATCTTTATAAGAAATCTTTTCCAGAAAAAAAAATTATCTCTGCATTTCAGATACAGCTCACATTCTTGCAGAGATGCCTTTTTTTAAGATCCAAAAATTGTTTGACAAGCAAAATTCCTAGACATAAACAAAACTTTCTGCTATCAACATGTTTATTCAACCCCAGGAGGAATGCATTGCACACCTTCGTAAATTGGTCTGCAATTTGTTCCCCCATAAACTTCTTGTTTCTGTAAAACTCGGTGTTTGAGTGAAGCCCAGTGGAAGTTTTAATGCCAAACATTTGAGCTGCCTGCATGATAAATTACTTGGGGCCTTTGGATTCTGGCTTCATAGAAAACAGCCACAAAAGCTGCCTTGCGTGGCAATCCCTTTCCTGGTCTCTGAAGATATCTTAGAAATCTGGGCGAGATCAGCAGTCTTGGACACTTCATTAGTTTTAATGCTATTTTCAAATAATCAGAGAGTCCAGGTAAGAATGGCAGACATCCCTTCCCTTGTGTGTTCCTGTGGCCTTGTCTACTGAAAGCCTAACGATGCTTAGGAGAACATTGAAACTGGAATAACTTCAGTGACCTCCCTCAATCAGCACATAGCCTTGTCATTACTAATCACCTCTGTCTGAATCTTGACACACCCAGTTTGCATGGGAGCCCTGCTTATCCTACCACACTGGATGTAGACACCTTAACATCATGTTTTGACAGCAGAAGTATTACTGGGCAACCTCAACTCTGCTGGGCTCTGAATGCTTATGCTACTATTTGGTTATGGCATTTGCTTTTGGCATAAAATTGTTACAGAAAAATTATTGTTTTGTGGAAATTAATTTTCCCAAGGTTTTTTGAGAGAGTATAATTTGCATCATCCAATAAAATGTACCCATTCCAAATGCTGAATTAGGCAACTGTATGAGTAATATTTCCACATAGAATAGCTTCAGAAGCTTTATGGGACCCTGAGAGTGAGTCTTTTTTCCTAAAAAACAGATTAGAAAGCTAAGACAGTTCACAACACTAGTGATGATGAAATTGCAACAAAAATGCTTGGTCCTAGGATTTGCCTGACTCTTGCTCTCTAGCTGTGACTTTCAGTTAGGACAGTACTCCCCCATAAAGTTTAAAGACTGCCTCATTTAAAGACAGTCACCAGAGGAGAATCACAGATATCACAGAGCATTGTAGAAGTACAAAATTCCTGAGCCACACCTTAGACCTACTAAGTCAGAAACCCTGGAATGGATGCAGATGTCTGTGTGAACCAGTCTTTATGTGACTCAGCTACAGCCAGGGTTTGAGGATCAGTGTTGAGTCAAGGCGCTGAAGAACACCAGAATTGTCTATTACAGGTTCTTGTGTTTCATCCCATAAAGTCTACTTGATTGCAGATAAAGTGCTCATTGTTCAGTTTAGATATGTAATCTTGGTATACTGTCTCTATTTGTTGTCTAGACAATCTTGTAGTTGACAAATATTTTAACCATTTTTATACTGTACATGTACTATATATTGAAGTGCAGTTTTGAAGAAGTTTGAGTAATAAGAAAATACCAAATTTTGTACAAATGGCAGGGTGATATTGTTACTGGCAAAATTAGAATGGTGACTTCCGCAAGTGAGGTTGCTCTTGCTACCATTTGACCTGAAATAAAATTGACAGTATACATTCCATTAGATCACAAGAGTTAGTTCACAACAATAAATGTGTAGAATCAATCTATAGGGAACATTTGTATCCTAGGAATAATGAATGTATAGACAAGAGATACCTTTATTTGATAATCTAACAAACATAGTCATAGTTGCAAGTGACCCCTTAAATCTTGGGCAAACTAAACCCAAACTGCCTTCCTCTCTCCTGGAGTAGTCTGAGCTACACACTTTACCTCCTGATTTAAGTGAAAACAGCTCTAATTCTACACCTAAAACAAAAGGCCCAGGATAGCTAAAACATCCCTATACAATAAAGGAACTTCAGGAAGCATCACCATACCTGACTTCAAGCTCTATTATAGAGCTATAGTCCTGAAAACAGCTTGGTATTGGCACAAAAATAGGCAGGTAGACCAATGGAACCGAATCGAAAGCTCTAATTTTAACCCACACACCTATGAACACTTGATTTTTGACAAAGAAGCTAATACTGTAAAATGGAAAAAAAGAAAGCATCTTCAACAAATGGTACTGGCATAACTGGGTACTGGTATGCAGAAGACTGCAGATAGATCCATGTTTATCGCCTTGTACAAAACTTAAGTCCAAATGGATCAAAGATCTCAACATAAATCCAGCCACACTGAAACTTTTAGAAGAGAAAGTGGGAGATACTCTTCAACGAGTTGGTACAGGAGACCACTTCCTAAACATAACACCAGTGGCACAGGCACTGAGATCAACAATTAACAAATGGGACCTTCTGCAACTAAAAAGCTTCTGTAAGGCAAAGGACACAGTCAAAAAGACAAAAAGGCAGGCCACAGAATGGGAAAAGATATTCACTAACCCTACATCTGACAGAGGGCTAATCTTCAAAATTTACAAAGAACTCAAGAAACAAGTCTCCAAAACACCAAAGGATCCAATTAAAAGGTGGGGTACAGAGCTAAATAGAGAATTCTCAGTAGAGGAGGCTAAAATGGCCAAGAGACACTTAAGAAAGTGCTCAAAATCCTTAGCCATCAGGGAAATGCAAATCAAAACAACTCTGAGATACCATCTTACTCCTGTCAGAATGGCTAAAATCAAAAACACCGAAGACAATTTATGCTGGAGAGGATGTGGAGAGAGAGGAACACTCCTCCACTGCTGGTGGGAGTGCCGACTCATACAGCCTCTTTAGAAATCAGTATGGAGATTCCTCAGGAAAATGGGAATTAATCTACCACTAGACCCAGCAATTCCACTCTTAGGCATATATCCAAATGAGGCAAGTTCATACAACAAGGGCATCTGCTCCACTATGTTCATAGCAGCATTGTTTGTAATAGCCAGAACCTGGAAGCAACCTAGATGCCCCTCAACTGAAGAGTGGATAGAGAAAATGTGGTACATTTACACAATGGAGTATTACTCAGCAGAAAAAAAACAATGGAATCTTGAAATTCGCAGGGAAATGGATAGCACTGGAAGAAACCATCCTGAGTGAGGTAACCCAGTCACAAAAAGACAAACATGGTATGTACTCACTCATATATGGATTTTAGACATGGATCAGGATAGTGCCAATCTGCACTTCCACTGATAGAGAGTCTGGGAAACAGGAAAGAACCTAAAAGATATGCATATATGCATAGTACCCAAGAGAAGAGGATTGAGACAAGATCCTCTGAATAGATGGGGAACACGGCGAGGGGTGGGGGGTAGTGGGACCTGGGAAGAAGAGAGGGGGTGAAGAGGAAGAGAGTTGGTCATGGGGGAACAGGAAGTTGAGGGGGTGGGGGTAGAATAGAGGGAAGAGGGAATCATAGGATAGAATACAGATCAGGCACCAGAGCGACCTCGAGTGATCTAAAGGGATAACACCAATTGGCAAGCTAAGCAATAGTGGAGAGACCACCTCGAATGCCCATTCCTGATAATGAACTTGATGTCTATAACCATCCGGGAGCCTTCATCCTGTGACTGATGGAAGCAGAGGCAAACACACAATTAATCACTGAACTGAACCCAAGGAACCAAGTGACAGAGAGAGAGGAGTGATGAGCAAATTGGCAAAGAATGGGCTGGCAAAACCAGCAGAGACAGCTGATCTGAACAGGGGAGAGCTCTTGGACCCCAGACCGACAGTGGGGAGGCCAGCATGGGACTGATCTGGACCCCCCAATGTGAGTGTCAGCGAGAAGGCCTGGGCAACCTATGGGGCCCTGAGCTGTGGATCAGTGTCTATCCCTGGTATACAAACAGTCTTCGTGTGCCTATAGCACAAAGAGGGATGCTCTCTCAGCCTGGACTCTTAGGGGAGTGCCTGGACCCTACCCAGAGTAAAATGGCAGACTCTAGATATCCCCTATGTGGAAGGATTTGGCAATAGGGTGGGAGGGTGGAGGGGAAGGGGAGTGCGGGAGGAGGGGAGGGAGAGGGAACTGGGATTGACATGTAAAACAAGCTATTTAAAATTAAAATAAAAAAATGATTTAAAAAAATGACGCCCTTACTCCCAAACTATGTGCTGTGCCATTCTATCTCCAATACATGGAAATTTTGTGCTAATGGCATTAAAAAGAATACCACTTCTCTTCACAATTTGACAATTTGGATGATTTTTGATCATGTGTTGTGTGTCGGTACACTCAAGCTTATATAAACTTGTTAGATTAAATTCTTAACTAGCTTTCACAGGCCTTAAGAAAAACATTATATCAAAGCTTATTTATATTGAACAAGTTTATATTAAACAAGTATCAGTTTGGGTAATGAGATATATTAAATAATGATATAATTAACTTATTTTTATTTTAAAAGATCTTGATGTATGTTTTTTTAATCTTTTTCCTCATTCTTCTTTCATATACTACATCCAGACCACAGCCTCCTCTCCTCCACTCTACCCAGTCCACCATACAACTTGCCTCTCCCACAAATCTGTTGCTCCTCCATTTCCCTTCAGAAAAGAGCAGACCTCCCAGTGATATCAACCAAACATGCCATTACAAGGTGCAATAAGACAAGGCACAAGCCCTCATATCAAGAATGGATGAGGCAGCCCAGTAGGAGGAGTCCAAAGAACAGATCAAAGTGTCAGAGACACTCCCGTTCCTGCTGTTAGGAGTTCCACAGTCCCCAAGCTAAACAACCACAGCATGTATGTGGAGACTATCATATGTCTTTCAGCATTAGAGAAAATCTGTTAAATAGATGAGGTGATGATTTTTTTTCCTTAAAGAAAACTTCAATAAAGAAAAGCTAACAGCTAAGTCACAGATCAACCCAATGACTTAGCTGACATCAAAAGTCAGTTTCCCAGCGTTGGCGCCAGGGACTCTCCTCTCGTTGCTTTGTCTCCATAGGTAAGAAAGCAGGGCCCATTAGTTGCAGGTGGTCTCTTGGGTTTGCTGGGGAATACATTGAAAGAATCTGCCTGGATCATTATAATACTGAGTTTATTAGTGACTGAAAGACTAAAAGTAGGAAACTGTCTTTTCTGCTTATTGATTTCTAATCCCTGCTGTCATTTCAGGTACCACTGCCTTGTGTCTGTTCCTGATTATGCATCCTTCCATCCTTAGTAACTCCCCCAGCCCAAAATCCTTTGAGGAGGTACAGTTCTTTAATAGAAATAACTACCACAGGGGGATTGATTGGTAAGATGGGTTACTAGTATAAATCTAAAAGTATATGTACCGTGCACAGTATAAACTTGGTGCTAATATTTAGAAACGCAGAAGTTTGTGACCACAGATAAAATTCATGCTACACATCTTAGAAACTGGCTGACAAATTTTGTGCATAAAGAAGCACAAAACTCATTCATATCATAGTAAGGCTTTCCCGTTAATGAGAGGGCCTCTTGCCTCAGGAGACCCACGTTGTCAGTTGGCATTACTTATCTTTGAAGGTAGTAGCAGATGTGCATTCATAGAAATAGGGTAAGCCCCAGGAATGTCACTCCGCCCTTGTGCACCTTTCATGAAGTGATGCTGTGATCTGAATATATCATTTTCTATCATGTTTTGGTGAAAAGGACAAAACATAACTAAAAATAGAATTGTATGTTTTATGAATAATAAAAGCTATAAAATTATTTTAAAGGTATCAATAAAAATATTTTTATCTTTGAGTTAAAATTAAGAGGTTAAGTATCTGAAGAAAATTATTAAAATTAGAAGTATTAATATAGATATAGACAAGCTATAAAAATGTGTTACAAGTAGACGATACAAAATAATATGCTGATCATAAGATATGTTTGAAATGCTAACTATTGATGTCAAATGTTGACATCATGGGAAAGTGCATCCTCCCAAAGCATAAACATAACCTTCCTGCATTCACTGTAGAGTAGTCATGAGCACAAGCCTCTTGGTCCTGACTTTGTGATCTGGTTGCCTGATCTCAGTTTTCTAAGTATCACCTGTCTCAAGAGGTCCTTTTGGGTAATCTGTAGAAAACTGATGAAATGAGTTTCATTTGAGCATCTACAGAAGTTGCAACCTAATTGTCCTGTAGTTCATGGATCATTCTTCCACACAGTGTTGGATACTAACTAATCACGTGGTGTTAAATAAGCTAACAACTACTTCAACCCCTGTAGCCACTCTCTCAAATAGAAAAGAACACTGGCATTAGGACAAAATAAGGGCTATAAAAACCTCTTTAGGAGTAAATACCAGTAAAATTATTGGCATTACTGGAATTTAAGAATAATCAATTTGATCATAAATTATATAAAACAAAACCTTTTTGATCATAAGCTAATAATATGTGTCAAACTGTAATAAAAATTAAAATTTCTTCAAATAGTTTACAAAAAGATGACACAAATAACTAAATATAACTCACTAGGGGCAAGGGTGTAGTGCAGTGGTAAGTGTTGTCTGGTATGTCCGGGGCATAGGTTCAGTCCCCAACACTGCAAAATGGAAGTAAATAAATGAAGGCAGCACCGTAGATCTAAACACAGATCACCAAAAAGTATCCTGAATACTTTTGATTGACAAATTACACATTATAAAAGGCAATTTATGCTAATAATAGATAATGGTAGCTGCAAGTGTCATTTTATAACTATAATTACAGTTTTGCTCCCAACAGCATCAGGTGTGTTCCCAGGCAGATTGCCTGGGTTCCATGTGAGGCATCACCCCATCAGCTGTGATTTGGGGGTTTTGATTCCACAAGGTTGGAGATTTGTACCTCAGAGTTCTGAGACCACTTTAACAATTTGATTATACACAATTAATCTAATATGAATCTGCTTTTATGTTAAGATCTGGATAAAACTAGGACTGTCTTAACTGTCAAGTAGTCTAAATGTACAAATAAGGTACAAACAAATAGGTCAAATGAAAAATTTACAATTCCATCTTTGACTGAATAGTCAAATCCCGCAGTGAGAAGGTCTCAGAAAAATATCTGACTTAGTCACATATATAAGTTTTAGGCTTTATTATTTAAATTATTTTAATGTATAGGAGTGGAGTGGGGAGCTATGGGTGTGTAGACAGTCATAAAACTGTTAGCATTTGTAACATGACAGTTATGGCCTGGTTTTGAGTACAATCAATTGAAAATCCATAGTATCAGATCAGAGAAAGATGTCTCAATATGAAAAGTATTGTTAGGGATGGAAAGAAAAGAAACCCCGAGGGCTTGCTGGCCAGTAGTCTAGCTTAAACGGCTAGTTACAGGTTCAGTGAAGGAACTGTCTCAAACAAACAAGGTGGAGAATAATAGAGAACGCATCCATCATCAAGCTCTGACCTCCACTTATGCATACAAGGGTAAACACACACACACACACACACACACACGAGCACATGTATCACATGCAGTCATAAAAATTAAGTGTCCGTAAAAATCACAAATAAATATGCAATGCTGCACAAAGCACATCTTCTGAATTATTTCAGAAGTCTGAAAGCTTGAGGGGCTTGCATTCACATTCAATCCCTGAAGTCAGTGTAATAGGGCTGCTGATTCTCTTGTATTTGCTAGTTTACTAATCACACATTTATCAAGTGTCTGCACCTCTGAACTCGTAGAGCATGTGACAGTATGGGCAAACAAAGTGGATCTCATTTTCTGTGCCAACCAGAGAGTAGGAATGACCAAGAAACGAGGCCCAACAACCAGGATGACTTTAAGGGCTGTTCAAAGCCTGTGTTGTTACCGGAGTAAAAGACAGACGAGAAAGTGGGATGTCTTCCACTGTTAAAAGCTTTCCAAGTCAGCACCTCTGTCTGTTTCATTCAACATTTTTGGATGCTTTTTCAGAAGAAGCAGGTTGAAGATAAGCTTGTAGCAAATAGGGTCAGACACTCATGGTAATCCTAGCCCCTCAAAGCAGTGTAAGCTTCTAAATATGAAAGCCAAAATGTGGCACTTCTGTACATAGAATGTGCACCACAAGAGACAGCAGATCAAGCACCCCTCAAATGTTTTCTTTTTTTAAGACTTATTTATTCTGCATGCAACATACAGCATTCTGCCTCCATGTATGCCTGCAGGCCAGAAGAGGACACCAGATTTCATTATAGATGGTTGTGAGCCACCCAGCCACCATGTGGTTGCTGGGATTGAACTCAGGACCCCTGGAAGAGCAGCCAGTGCTCTTAACCTCTGAGCCATATCTCCAGCCACCACCCCCCAAATGTTTTCATATCTATTTTCCTCTGAAAGAAAGTCAAATATCTGGCACAGAAGGGTAGTGCCTGAAACGCACAGCAAGGTTTTGTTGCTCTACGTGTCTAAATGTCTGTTACCTCAGTTATATTATTCCTTGTAATAATAGCAGAAGCCTAGCCAGGTTTAAAAAGTCACGTGACCTTTCGGATGCCGTGAAGCACACTATAAACTGAAGTCATCATGAGAATGTTGATGACTCTTGCTCAGTAATTATGGAACTGTCCGGATTTTGAAGTGGTAGTGGCTTATGAGTTGAAGGGAAGAAGGGAGCAGAGTGAGGCCATTATTATAAAATATAAGTCCCAGAAATTCAATTTTAAACAAAAGCCCTAACTGCTATACAAATATCTATTGCCATAAGCTGGTGTAGTTACGCCTGACCACTCTTGCACCAAAGGGATGTTAAGTAAATGTCTACATTTCTATGCATAGGCCAGCAGGTGTTACTGAGTTCATACTCCTGGTGATTTGACTTCTCATATCCACGAAATACTAATAAAATTTTGTACTCAACTCTAAAGAGAAACAACATAGCAATGTATTTTAAAAGGAATCAAAGGGGCAGTGTTTAAAACAGACACACTCCATGATTAAACATACCAGCCAAACCCAGCACTGGGAATGATATTTGTTTACTGTGATAACCAAAACTATCTTGTATGAATTCTTTTGGATGTCTCGTAACTAAATGTACCTGCTATTTCATCACATTCTCTTTTGTCTGGGGTCTCTGCTGGTTTCTATGTTTTCATGCATTTTGCCCAGGAGCTACAGTTTGATCACTTTGTTCCTCTATCTTTGTTCCACCATAACATTTTTTCTGGAATTAAGCAAAACAAAAAAGACTTTGCAAGTGTTGTGAATGTGTTTCCTTCAACAACTGGAGAGATAACTGCCTTAAAGCAAAGGTTGATTGTCAGTTTTTTAGGGGACAGATGAATTTGTTGGCCACCTTTAATGTCTTCAGTCACCAGCATATAAACGTGAGGGGCTTGTTTTGAAGAACGATACTCCTTTCTAGGTACATGGATTTCTTCCCAGTCCCATCTAATGTCACCAGTGACTTTCTGTTTGAGAAGAGTGCCAATTACTTCCATTCAGAGGAAGCTCCTAAAAGGGCTGCTTCTCTAGTCCCCAAAGCCAAGATCATCACCATACTCATTGACCCATCGGACCGAGCATACTCCTGGTACCAGGTAAGAAGATGTGCCCACAGAGAGGAGAGTATGCACAGTGGAGGGTCATTTCCTGGAAAACTGTTAACTCCCTCTAGAGGGCAGATCTTTGAATGAGTGCATCTGTCCATGTCTCTCTCTCTCTCTCTCTCTCTCTCTCTCTCTCTCTCTCTCTCTCTCTCTCTCTCTCTCTCTCTCTCTCTCTCTCTCTCTCTCTCTCTCTGTGTGTGTGTATGTGTGTGTGTGTGTGTGTGTGTGTGTGTGTGTGTGTTCAGGGATCCACCTGTCTCTTGCTCCCTAGCACTGAGATTACAAGCATAAACCGTCACATCAGACTTTGTATATGAGTTCTAAAGAAGAAACTCCGGTCCTCACATTTGCACAGCAATCAGTTTGCCAGGTGAACTATCTCCCAAAGTGTAACATCTCAAATTTGAATAGATGAGAAGACCTAATTGATGCATGCAGCAAAGTAGATTATTTATTCTTGGTTTTCCATAAGAAACAAACACAATCAATGTTTTTTTATTTTCTTTAATCTGATAACTTTACTTAATAAAATTATTAGTACAATGAATTGCAATTGAAAAAATATAGCAAATATTACATGTTTTGTATATACATGTGCATGTTTATGCATGTGCATTTTAAAGTTCTTCAAACACATGCTAGATAATGTTTCACTTGGGTTTTATAGTTGATAAGGGCTCTTCGGCAACTCCACCATTGTGTTTCAAAAGTGGCAATAGAGGATGCACAACGGAGTGACCATGAGACTCCTGACCCCAGCTCAGGATGTGCAAATGAGTGAACATGGCAGTGTTTGGTGACACTGCTGGCCCCAGCTCCAAAGTCTCTCAAGTAACTGCTTCTGCTGGAAAAGGGTTGGGGTGACAAAGCATGTGCTGACTCCTCCATCCAGGAAAGCCCAACCTGTCTAAACTGCTCCATGCCATCTTCGCTATGCTTATTGTCATTTTGTCCCTGACGTTTATTAGAACTTAGCAGAGATAATTCAGTGGACTCTCAGTGACTCTTTACAACACCCGGTGGTATTTTAATCACCTGATAAAAAGCAGACAAAATTAAGCATACACATACAACAAAACTGAAGCTTTTCGTATTTATAATCACTAGGAATCTTTAGTTAGTTAACCTTCCTCAGTTCTAAAATTTGTTTCATTGTTTGAGACAGGGACTTGTGTAGGCCAGCTGTCCTGGAATTTGCTATGTAGCATAGGAGACAATGATTTAACTCTTCATCTGCCTACCTTCACCTTCCAATGCTGGAATGAGAGTCATGCACTACTGTATCTAGGTGATAATTTCTCAGTACTTTCCTAATGTGCATCAGACATCAAAGAATTGCAAGGATCTTTGCAAAGTATTGTTTGTTTTTAAAGTGATTTGAATTAATAAAGTGATTTGATGTTAACACTTCTTTTGGTTTACTGGAGAAATAACATGTATATGAGCTTAAAAACTAGAAAGATATAAGTAATGTACAGACTCATTCGCTGATAAAGCCTGGCTTAAACCAAGATGGATTTATTAGTTGAATTGGAGCTATAGAGAAGAACCACTTGGAAATCTTTAAAGTAAGAAAGGATTTTCAAGAGTAAAATGGGTAAAAATTCCAATGGACAGTTCCAGTAGTACAAATGGAGCTATATGTAAAGGAGGTATCGGCAGGGCAGGGCAGAATCAGAGGCCAATATTTTACTTCCCTGGAAATTGTAATGTTAACATAAATGTAGAAAGTCATATTTACAAATGCTTATCATCTGAGATTCTGCAGGTAGGCTAGACATAAGGTGAATTCCCTGTGTTCTAAGTGGCCTCCACAATGAGTTGATGTTATACTGTCATTGGTGTGATGTAAGACACCTAGGGTCTTGAATTTTTTAATTTATTTTAAACTATATGTATGTGTGTCTATGTATGGGTGTGTGCATGTGAATACAGGTGCCCAAAGAGGCCAAAAGAGGATATTGAGTCCCCTGGAACTGGACTCTACAAGTGGCTGTGAGCTGACTAGCATGGGTGCTGAGAACTGAACTTGGGTCCTCTGCCATAAGAGTGCTTGCTCTGAGTCATCTCTACGGTCCCAAGTAGCTAACCTCTTGACAACTATACTATTAGAGAATTATTATTAATTCTTAGTTATACTATTAGAGAATAAAGTGTTCCAAAGCGCTGTCCCCTTTTTTATTTAGCAAAAGCAGTTATTCGGGGTTCACAAGTGGAAACACACATTGTGAGATGGTTAGTGACAAGGACTAGGAGCAGAGACATAGGAAGGGGTAGACCTTAGAGAGGCAACACTAAAGATCGTCTATACAAGAGAGCATGGAGCCTTTCTGGAAAGATAAGATCACAGAACTTCATAGCCTCACCTCAATGTTTTATGGCAAACCCAGAGACATCTCTTAAGCCAAACTTTACATTAAATTGGAAATTTACAGATTTCGTTTTCTACCAAAAAATATCTGGGGAAAAGAAAGAAATGCACCTTGATTGTTCCAAAAGGAAAGCAGAGAATTGGAGCTTGGCAACCACTTAATCCCTGAAATTGGGAACACACACACACACACACACACACACACACACACACACACACACACACACACGCACATGTACACACTGGCTCCAAGGCTTTGAACTAACAAAACTTCATAAATATTGCAAATAAATCACCGCACGGTGGATGAAAAGATGCTGATAGAGTCTTCAGTGCAGCAATGCAGTAACCGGGATTCCAGTCACAGCAGATTTGCTATTCGACTAGATATGGTGAACAATCACAGTCTGGCCACCATACCTGGGTGCTTACAGATCAATTTAAGGAAATCGTGATTGTCTTGAACCCATGGGCCTGAGACAGAGCCATTAGGAAATGTTTTCATATTTCAATTGCTGCTTTCTGCATTTTCTTATTGTGGTTCACCACAAAGATTGCCATTAGATAAAAATAACCTTGACTTTCAGACTCTAGGCAATGTGTAGTAGGATCTGTAATCTCACATAATGTGTGTCCCAGGGTTTGTATTAGTCTCTCCATTTAAAGTAGCCGGTAGGGGTTTTCTAATCAAAGCCTAACTTAAGGGTAGGGTTAGCAGGGTGCTTATTTATTAGAGATATTTACTGAGCATGATGATTGGTTTGAATGTGGGCTGGCAAAGGAACATGAATACAGATTTTGAAAGTTTACTTTCAGAATAAAATGTATAAACTGAGGGAAAACTCAGAAATATTGCTTAAGAAACCCTATCTTAATTCTGCCTCTACTACCTGAATTCCCAAAAAGTATGACCTCACCAGTGTCTTAACTTTAAACTTTGACACTCCTATCCAGCTTCATCTTCTACTAATTTCTAAACAAATAACTCTCCAGTAAAGCAGCATTCCTTCCTTTAGCTTTGAGATGTGTTGAAAGGTCAGGCTTAACTATTTATGTGCACAGTAAGAGTTAATGCAATTATCTGCCTTCTCATCATAGCATCAGCGATCTCATGAAGACCCCGCAGCTCTGAAGTTTAGCTTCTATGAAGTGATCTCTGCTGGGCCCCATGCACCCTGGGAACTTCGCACCCTGCAGAAGAGATGCTTGGTCCCTGGGTGGTATGCTAACCACATTGAGCGATGGCTTGTTTATTTCCCTCCCTTTCAGGTATGAAGCAACCTGGATTTACAGCATGTAACAACCTCATGGAGTGGATGGCTCTGCCTCAGCCACAGCTAAAACACTGCTAGGTTTCATCCCTTAGTTGCAAATAATGATACTGGCAGAGGGAAAAATAGGCAGAAGTCAGAAAATGGGTTAATTTTCTAAGAGTATCTCATGCAAATTCTCCCTGATGATTTTTTGGTGTTAGCATGCCATCTCTGAATGACTAAGTCCCGTTCTGAAATGAATGAAGCCTGATGAGAGGGGATGACTTCAGCAGACCAGACAGACAGACAGACATCATTTTGGTGAATGAAGTACCTTGATTTCTCTTCTAAAACACTTTGCTGAAGTCATCATGAGTCCTTTTCCTCTCATTCCTTGCTTTTTCTCTTTTTCGTGGCATCACCTCCCATAAACATCCAGTGGTCCCTACTCTGGCTTATACAAGAAGCCCAGTGACATCGGAAGAGAGTCCTATGGATATAAAATCAGTGTCCAGTATGATGGCTATAACAACGTATGGCTAATTAAGCATATTGCAGTTAAATAAAACAAAAAAACTCAGCTCATTTTCTTTAGGTCCGTGTGAAAGCGGAGGAACTTCTTGTTAGATGTAGCAGTCTGTCCATATCATGGCAAGTTCTATTGAATATCCAGTGTAAACTAGAAATACTGCAAAGGAGGCTTCCATAAAGTTGTGTGACGAGGTCTATGACTTCCATCATGGCCTATTGTCACTTTGTCTTGCTAGGTTAGCTTTCACCACTCCCAAAGGGAAAAAAATCTTTTCCATAGTTTTTTCTTTTTTGGTTTTGATTTTGTTGATATTGTTCACTTTGTTTTCTTGAGGCAGGGTCTCTGTCTATAGCGCTGACTGACCTCATGTTCAGAAAAAGCCTCCTGCTTCAGCCTCTCAAGTGCTAGTATTATAGGTGTGGTCTTTGTTTGATTCATATACTTTTATTGTGAGGATGTGTGTCATACATGTGTGGGTTCCCACAGAGGCCAGAAGATGGCATCAGATCACATGGAACTCGAGTTACAGGAGGTTGTGAACCACCCTGTATGGGCTCCAGGAACCGACCCCTGGTCCTCTACAAGAGTGTTATGAATTCTTAGCCCCTAAACCGTCCCTTCATCCCCTTCAACTTCATTCCTTTTGTTGTTGTTGTTTTTCAAAATCGGGCTTCTCTGTGTAGCCCTGACCATCCTGGAACTCACTCTGTAGACTAGGATGGCTCAAACACAGAGATCCACCTGCCTCTGCCTCCTGGGTGCTAGGATTAAAGGCGTGCGCCACCACCACGTGGCCCCATTCATTTCTTGAGCATCATTCTGCCCATGTTTAGGTCTCTGGAAATCTTGCCTCCTTCCTCATGGATTATCAAAGAATTTTTAAAAGGCTGCTCCTGAATCAAATTGGGAGGTGATAGGTCCCTGTCTCATTATAACTTATTATAACTTTTCTATTTGGGAGGTGGGGCCAGAGCAAGGAGGTGATGGTGATTGCTACTTTAGACACAGGATCTCACCCTATTCCTGGCCTTAAACTCACACTCTTCCTGACTTGGTCTCTTGAGTGCAGGGTTGGAGTGTGAGCCAGAATTCTGACTTAATTGAAAGCTTTCTTCTGTACTACAGTCGTCCATCCCAGCAGGAGGGATGCAACCCTCGTGTTGTGATTCACAGTCACATTCCTGAGCACACTTTCTCCCCGTTACTGTTGTAGCTTTCATGTCATTTCCCTGGCTTCTCAGATAACATCAGAATGCTTAATTAGCATGACTTATTTACAAGCCACTAATGAAAATGACTCTATTGCACCTCCCAACAATGTATGCATCTCCCCGAGGACAATGCCTGAATAAGTACATGAATTTGTGGTTTTACAGTTGTCACATGCTTTTTCAACATCCATGTCTTTTTTCCTTATTATTACCTTCGTAATTTAGCTGCTAATTATCGACGGGCAGCAGCTAAGAACTGACCCAGCTACTGTGATGGATGAAGTCCAGAAGTTTCTAGGAGTCTCGCCTCATTATAATTATTCTGAAGCTTTAACGTAAGTTTATATTCTAATCTGTTTATTGAAGTTGCAGAATGGAACTGATTGTAAAGAAATTGTTGTTGGATGATATGATTGTCTGGTTAACACTCTGCTATTGAGAAAGAGCATTCAGACAGCATGACAAAGAAACGTCCTAAGATTTCTTGATTCTTTTGTTTTCCTTTTTTTTTATTTTTTTATTTCATTTTACATTCCAACCACAGTTCTCCCTCCCACCCGCCTCACCTCCTCCCACCCCCCTTTACCTCCCCCCCTTAGCAGATCACCAGTCCACTCCTCCTCACAGGTAAAGGCTCCCATGAGGAGTCAACACAGCTGACACGATAGGTTGGGGCAAGGCCAAGCCCCTCTCCCCTGCACCAATACTGAGCATGGTATCCCACCATAGGGAGCAGGCTCTAACAAGCTAGCTCGGGTACTGGGATTATATCGTGGTCCTACTGCCACTGAGTATGGCATCTCACTGTAAGATTTCTCCATCATGATCTTGACCTCCCTTGCTCATATGTTCACATCTTCTTGATTCTTAACTAGGCAGATTCACCCTAGAAGGAACATTAGAAAAAATAGTTGTGGCTCATTAAACTAACAAGGAACCATGGAAGAGGCTACTTGAAATAAGTAGATCTCCTGCCTAGTTTTATGTCAACTTGACACAAGCTAGAGTCTTCTGAAAGAAGGGAATCTCAATTGAGAAAATGCCTCCATAAGATCCAGCTGTAAGGCATTTTCTTAATTATTGATTATTATGGGGAAGGGCCCAGCCCATTGTGGGTCATGACATCTTGGACTGATATGATCCTGGGTTCCATAAGAAAGCAGACTGAGCAAGCCATGATGAGTAAGCCAGTGAGCAGCATCCCTCTATGGTCTCTGCATTAGCTGCTGCCTCTAGGTTCTTGTCCTGCTTGAGTTCCTGTCCTGACTTACTCTGATGATGAACTATGATGTGGAGGAGTAAGGCAAATAAATGCTTTCCTTGCTTTGGTCAAGATGTTTCATCACAGTGGAGAAGTGCAAATCCCACTTAACAGGCAATATTGGGACATCTTGGGGACATGAAGCCAAGTCTGACAGGGTTTGTGAACTGACCTTTGTGTGACTTTCAGAAACAATGTCATATATCAAGGAAAGCCCAGTGGTTGTGGGGGGGCAGTGTTATTATGAGCCTAAGCACTTGTCTTTTACCCTCTGTGAATCTTACCGTCTTCCTTCATCAGTTATATGGCTGGTTTGGGTTCGGTTTGTTGGCTTTTTGGTTTGGTGTGCTAGCTTTTGTTGTTTTTCTCAAGTAGCTGACTGGAAACTAGGAGTAGGCAGAGGAAAGTCGGGCAGTATGGTGTTAAGGAAGTGTTTGCTCTTACACTGTGTCTGTGCCTTGAAGTTTGTACCCTCTGTGTCTTCTTACATCACCCTGGTCCTCCCTCTGCAATTAGTCCTGAGGGCTGTGCTTGCTCCCGTCTCAACTGAGCAACTCAGCAGAGGTACCAAGATGGACTGCCTACAAACCATATTCTCACTATGTAATCCATTAATTCTACGATTTATGGGTTGAGTCTTAAAGAAACTTAAAAATGCTATATGGTGAGATACTCTGCTATTCTTTTCTTAAAATACAATGTTTTATTCATTTGAGAAAACCATATAATATGTTTTAGTCATGTTTGCCTTCCCATTCCTCCTCCTAACTCCTCCCATATCCATCTCACATCAGCATCTGCCTTCCAACTTCATTCCCGTTTTCTTTTCCTCCACATTTAATATCACTGTCATCATCATCATCATTCATTTCTTTTGTCATGTCACCCTTTTCTCCAACTCCTCCCAGATAAAACTCAGTTCCATAAACCATCTGGGTTTGTTTCTGCTGTTACACTCCATCCCATGGCAATCTAGAAAGTAAGAAAAGGGTTTCATTTTCTTTCAGCTTCCCTTTGAGTAAAGAGTTAGTAGGAAAACATCAAACACTGCTTACATTGGGTACCAACTATATGTAGAGCCTTGTGGCTTAGAGGCCAAAGGATACTGTAACTCCGGAGTTTCAAGCTTTCTTCCCAGGAGTCTTTTACTTTGCCGTTATCATTCTCATGCTGGGCTAGTTTTCTATACTCCTACTACGGCCAGGTTTGTAGAGTTTCAGTTCAACGAGTGATAGACAGTAGCTTTAAGTATTTAACATTCAACTTAACATTAAAGAAAGCCGAGTGCTTTTAGTTTGCAGTTAGGAATGCACGCTGCTCTAAGTATCTCTCTAAAAAGGAAGCGTTTATTTTCGAAACGATTTTCTATTTCGTTGGCTTCTCTTTGTATCTTTTTATAGGGTATCTGGGAAAGCATTGTGTCTCAGAGAAAAGAAGTAGTCTATAAAGACATCATTTCTTTCTCTTGTAGAATGGCCCTTGACCTGCATGCTGTGTGTTTGTCCTCTCCATACCCTGCTCAGCAGAAAGATTTTTTTTAATTCATCTCCATTGCTGGGAAAGGCAGTGTGAACTTGAGAGAATGGATATCAAAGAAACATGCCATATACAAAGGACTGTGGGTCACTGTGCACCTGGCATGTAGCTAGCTAAAATTACCCAATAGTAGCAGGTGTAATCTGTGAGAGCAGTTTCTGGTCCAGCAGGACTGCCCAAGCTGTCGCCTTGCCGACATAGATAATGTGCTTCCAAGCTGTTTCTTTCCACATTTTCATGTCAGTCATTGACTGGCCTGACACACCTTGTAAAAACCAGCTGTGCGCTTGTTGTAAGCTATTTGGACAATACGTCTCATTGTCCTTGCTTTGAAATGCTCTTTTCTCACCCCATGCCTTTCTAGGCTGTTTATATGAATCCTGTCCTAACAATCCCTTCCTCCTAGCAGAGTCTTTATGGCCCAGCAGCTGTTTCTCAGTGCTTTGAAAACATGGCCTAATCATGAGGAAAAATGCATCTCAGAAATACCATTGACACAACTCCCAAGAGACTACTTGGTGTATCCCTCAGCATTGCTCATTATTTTACTTCTGATGATAGTGAAGATTATCATCTTTGGTACTAAAGAGAAACAAGAAATGCTCCAACACTTAGCATTTCTAGGTGTCCTCTTGTAGATATCCAGAAGATTGAAGTTATTATCACCACTGCATATTTGTTCTTGGTTAAAGTCCTCTATGGATGTAATAAAGTATAAACCACATCAATTCAGTGTTTACACACAGTACAATAGGGAAACGAGAGGTTATCTATACAAAGGGTTTACTAATCAATTTTGGTATGAAGGAATATTCGAGAAGGGCTCTATGCTGATTATCTTCAGTAAAGCAAACTCTAGTATCAAAGGTACTTCCCAAGAAGAATGAACAAAACATCCTCACTAATGGGGATTACTTCTTCCTCCAGTTGCTAAGGAAAGTGTTTAGAAATTCTAAATTTTCACAGAACCATCAGATAATACATGATGTTTTAACTGACAAGGTGGGTTTCTAATTATTTTTTAACTCAGATTCTCTTTGTGACTTTGTGATTTGAAATATACAGTATAACCCTAAAATAATGTAAGTAGGAATTGTCTCATCAGATTACAGTTGTACAGCTCTTGTTTAACATGAACTTAACCCTAAGCTTTGAAATGGTTGCTGTAGTGATGCTACATAAGATGTGCTATGTAAAGCAGACTACAGACGAGTCATTTGAAAGAAAAGCCAGACATATCTCATGCTAAGTCATGTACACTAAAATCAGAAGTATCAATATTCAACTTTATATTTATATTGAATTATACATCTGTAGTAGTTTGAATATAATTGGCCCCCATAATCTCATAAGGAGTGACACTATTAGGAAGTGTAGCTTTGTTGGGATGGGTATGGCCTTGTTGGAAGAAGTATGTCACTCTGGGAGCAGACTTTGAGGTTTCTTATGCTCAGGACACTGCCCCGTGTCTCAATCGACTTCCTGTTGCCTGCAAGACGTAGGACTCTCAGCTACCTCTCCAGCACCACATCTGTCTGCATGCCACCATGCTTCCCAGCATGAGGATATGGAGTGAACTATAAGCAAGCCAATCCAATTAAATGTTTTCTTTCTAAGAGTAGCCGTGGTCAGCCGGGCGTTGGTGGCGCATGCCTTTAATCCCAGCACTCGGGAGGCAGAGGCAGGCGGATCTCTGTGAGTTCGAGGCCTGCCTGGTCTACAGAGTGAGTTCCAGGACAGCCTCCAAAACAATACAGAGAAACCCTGTCTCAAAAAAAAAAAAGAGTAGCCATGGTCATGGTATCGCTTCACAGCAATAAAAACCCAAACTAAGACGATATACATTCAGAATTCTCACTGGTCAGCAGATGTCTTCACTTTGAAAATGCTAACCTTGCAGCTCATTTCTCAGCTGGGGAAACACTTGTTCAGATTAATGAAACCAGATTGTGTTGTATGAATTTTTAATACTAATGCACTTGGAAAATGTCAATAGTGGCCAATGAAAATATGAAGCGACGGACTGACATAGTCTGTGTTTATCTTTTGTTTTGTTTTGTTTTCTGGTTGAGGCTTGGCTGAGTCATAAGAGAATTTTAAACCCTCTTGATAATTCAGAAAAATAGCTAATATCTCCTTAATTGCTGCCAAGTTAATATTGGCCAGAAAGTCTCCCCAAATCACCACTAATAAGCCTAAGTAAAATCTGCCACATTAAAACTGCCAAAAAGAAGTAGTGATAAAAATTGCAGTCTGTTGGATATCTATGAGAGTACCTAGAAAATGCTGTGTTGGCAGAAAAACAGAAAGCTGATTGGTTATAATATATTTATAAATATTTATATAGTATAAAATAGTTATTTACTGGGTATCGTATATGTAGATACACATTCATATATATTATCAAAATAACACCATGTGATTGGTGCTATTAGTTCCTTTTTCTTCCTATTGAAAATAGATATTTTTCATATAATATATTCTGACTATTGTTTCCCTTCCCATAATGCCCACCTCCCTACCCACCCAAATCCATGA